GTAATAGCAACAGAAAGTCGCTAAACATTCAGTAAATACTCCAGCTGAAGCAAATTGTGCACAAAGTATCTACCAATTGGACATAATGCCCGTTTGCTTGTACCTTCTTTTTTTTTCAGTGTATAGAATACTTGTTGTAAAATGCTGGCAAGATTATGGCAATTGTGGACTGTCTGGACTGTCCGTGCCGGCCGGGGCACTGTTATTATTTTGAAATTATTTTAAATATACGAGCTGGGCTTTTATTTTATCTTTATAGGCAGCCAGAGGGTCTCCGAGGTGGGCCTCAGCTCGGCTCAGCTCAGCTCGGCTCAGCTCAGCTGTGCGTGCAGTTGAATTTCTAGGGAGTGTCCCGAGTAGTTCAAAGAAAGGGTGATTAAATGATGAGCCATCAATTCGTATTCGAAATACATGTATATTATTTAAAAGTCCATCAGGAGAGATCTGCTCCAGAGTCTAATATATCATTGAAAATGGGATATTATCTCGAGTTTTATTCTACATACATAATTATTGGGCTACAAACAAAATTCTTCAAATAACCAAAGCTATATAACTATAATTTGATGTCAGGGTCGCTTTTTGAGTGAAGGAAAACAGAAAAAAGCGACATTCCGGGCAACGGCTTGTTCTTCAAAGGTATTTCAACGGAATTCGTTTAATAGCATTTGCAATAAAAATGGAAAATGGAAAACATGAGAATGAGAATGAGATTGGGAGAAAAAAAAGCGGAGCTAACCACACGGTCAAATAACATATTCAGGCAGTTTTTTATGTGGCACTATTATAACTGCAATTTCTGGAGACCCTGTCTCGAGGTCCTCGCCTTTTTGATTGGTCCGTCGAAGGTCAGTTTAATTATGCATTTGACAGCTGCCACGGGTGAGGGTGAGGGTGAGGGAGAGGGAGAAGGAGGTGGGAATGGGACTTGTTTTCGGGAAGCCAAATAGCTCGAATGCCTGACAATTAGTTGCATAATTTAAAGTCCAAAACAAAAGAGAGAGAGAGAGAGAAAAAAAGGCGAAAAAGAGCACACAAATAACAGAAATTGTTTATAACTCGATCGGGCGATTGCGACTGCGACCGCGACTGCGACTCCGAATGCGACTGCGAATGCGGAATACAATGAGAATGAATAATTCCCGATGGGCCTGTGGGGGCTATTAAAAAGATGCCAATGTGTGCCCAGCAATCAGCAGTCCACAAAAATGGCCATGATGAATCAGTAAGGAGCTGTCGACTGGCAAAAGTATACATATACAATACATTATATAGGCAGGCAGCAACTATGGAACGACTTCTGCGAAGCCCACACCAAGATACAAAGATACATTTTTAAAATGTTAAATTGATGCAGGCAACTGGCAACTGGCAACTGGCAACTGGAAGCGGGCAACTGGAAAGGGGGCGACTCACAGCACTAACCATAAAAAGGTATTTAGCAATTTAGATGCATTCGACGTCGTGTCCGAGACGAACGCGATCTCCAACTGGAGTGTGCGAGCGGTTCGCTTTCCAGCTCCTCAAGATGTTTGTTGTTGTTGTTGTTGTTGTTTCCTGAGTATCGCACGCTTCGATCTCGGCTGCTGATTGCGCAGCTGGAGGGGATGAGCGTGCGTGTGTGTGCGTGTGTGTGTGTGTGCCTTGAAAAATGAATTGCTTAGCGCTCGCTCGCCCAAATAGTCCATGGCATAAATTCCGAATGGGAAACGCATCAATCAACGGTTTAAGCTCAGCCTGCAAGAGAATGGAATGAACGCACAAAGAGGACGAGCAAAACATAATCACTGAAAGCTTGCAATTGCAAGCGAATTGCCCTGCAATTGGAAAGGGACAGAGATGAGCGCCAAAACAACGAAGAGAGCGGCTCTGGAATGGAAGAGCGCGTTTTGCGGACTCGTGACGATATTGCTGGAAAGATTAGAAGGCGCAATGGCAGCCAAAAAATTAAATAAGAAAAGATAACAGCCTAGGCATGAGAGCCCGAGCCCAAGCCCGAGCTCGAGCCCAAGCCCAAAATACGTGGAACGGCAAACAAAACAAGTCGAGCCGAGAACAAATAGGCGAGTCATCGGCATGACCATGGCAAGCGGATTAGCTTACCTGCCCCGGGGCGGGCGGGACGCAGCGGAGTCTGAGCCGCTCCCCTGAGTGCCGGGTTGCCGGTGCCGGTGCCAGCTAAAAATTTACGATTTTAGCACAGATTGTAAAGTAAATTTTCCTGTTTTTATTTCGAATTAACAAGCGGGGCCCAGGCAAACAGACGGCGACGGACCACAGCGACGGCGAGACAGAGATAGCAACAGCGACCGCCACAGAGAATAAGAAAAACACAGCAGCAACAGCAACAACAACAAGAACGACAACTACAACAACGACTATGTCGTGGCTTGTGAAAATAAAAAACGAAAGTTTCATGCATTTTTTTCTTCTCTTCTTGTCTGTTTTTTTTTTGTTTTTTGTCTTTTGTGTGATTCTTCTTTAGAATGCGCATTACAGGAAGCCATGAATCGAACCGGTTGGTTCTTTCAACGCGAATGAGCTGAGCCGAGCTGAGCGGTTACTTAATAATGCAAACAGGTTTCGGACGGGCTCATCTAAGGATGCGATGCGAGGGATTGCCAAGTAGAAAGGCCAGCTAAGTTATGGATATGATGACGAACTAGCTTTTTATCAAGGCGATGACAAAGCGCGATTAGAACGACAACAGGAAATCTGAAAATGTGGGCTGGATTTAATGAGCGAGCGGCAGTTTTAAGAGAGGGTAAGTCCACAAAAGAGCTGTGTTGGGTTTCTTTTGTTATGCTTAAACATACATACAAACATTTACAAAATATACAATAGTTAAATGCAAGGGAACAAAAAAAATGCCTCGGTACATACTCATGTGCTCTTTCTTAAGAGCATCTTACAAGAGAAATGCATATATATATGTATGTATGTATTCGTGTCCATTCTGTTCCAGCGCCTAAGCTAATTACCGTTGATTCAATTTGCCCATAGCTTATTTTCTTGGGCAATTTCCTGTTTCTCTTTGCCATACCTTGCGGTCTTCTCGTACCTATTTTCTTTAATTTGAGCAGTTTGGTAATTTAAAATTGGAACCCCCTCCGCTTTACCTGCCCATAATCAACTGTAATGCGGCCGACTCGGCGTTGAGCACGCAAGCAGGCAGTCAGCAAACAACAACAACAGCAACAACAACGACGCAAACAAAACATATGCTTCAGCAACAACAACGATGGCAACTATAATGGGCACGCCAAATTCACAAAGCTTCACACACAGACACATATCCAGACAGTCACACACACACACACAACAGCATCGATACACGGACACTGACACACCTCCCCATTTTTGTATAGTACTCGGGCGCTCGTAAATTATTGCCGACTTGTGTGCTTGTGTGCGTATTTCACGAAACAGCTGATTTGTTATCAACGGCGCTGAATGAGCACACAACAGAGAGAGACACACACAGAACGAACGAGAGAACACTAAGCTTCAAGTGCTGAATTCTCACGCTCAGCAGCGGCACAAACAACAACAAAAGGTGGAAGAAATAATAAAAAAAATAAAAGAAAAAATACAACGACGCCAACGGCGGCTGCTGCTATGGCAACGACCTTCCTTATTTATTACAATGTGTGTAATCGTCTACTGTGTATGTGTGTACCAGCTAGTATGTATATCGTATGTGTGCTTGCAGACGACGACGACGAAGCTGTTGTTATTGTTGTTGTTGTTGGTGTCGATGATGCTGATGAAGACGATGTCGTCGGGCATCGGGGAGGGGGGCAACGGAAGGCGCTGACTTAAATTGCTTAGTTTTTAGTGCAGAAATGTCTGCAACATTTAAGTTTAATGCTGGCTCGTTACTGTTGTTGCTGTTCTGCTGCTGCCGTTGTCGCTTCTTATGCCTTGTTCGTTTTTCTGTGTGTGTTAGAAGGAGAAGGGGTGTAATCTCTTTTGCTGGCAGCTTTTGCACTGAAAATCTTGTGCTCATTGCGCAGTTTCCGTGTGGCTTAGTTTGAATTTTATTTTATGTAGTTGTTGTTTTTTTTTTCTTTTGTAACAGGGTAGCTGTCGTTGTGAGTGTTGATTCTTTTTTGGGGATTTTATTTTAGTGCCGCACCTTTGTACATAATATAGAACAAAAGAGTAGAAAGAAAGATGTAAGATATGACAGAAAATTGTAGTAAAATAGTAACGCGAAGGCTTTGGAATGCATGCTGACATGAATTAAGTGATATTAATGGAGGAAAGGGAATATGTACAATATATGTACTATGTATGCACTTATGTATGTGCATATTAAATTCTCTTGAAGCGATAGATTTTTGTAATAATGTGCATGCATGAATGCGACTGCATTTTCAAGAGCTTGTCGCCAGGGCTATTAAAAGGCAGCCAACAAGAGTTTGATGGCAAATGAATGATCAAAGGAGCGCATAAAACTGAAGCTGCGCAGAGGCTGAGGCCATAAAGAAATCATAAAAATTAAAGCAGGGCAACACTTAAAACACACGCTTAAAAGAGCGAGAACGGCAGCAGAAATATGATTACAAAATAAAAAGGCAGCAGCAGCGGCAGCGACGTCGCTCTCTCGCACAACACGAAAGCAGTTGTAAAGATGGCCGCCGTGGCTATTATATAGCTGAATTTGTAAGCGACACCAACACTTTTGTATACACACACACACACACACGCGAACGCAGACCGCACAAGAGAGACAGAATGAGAGAGCAAACATGTGATGCGGCATGTGTTTCAGTTACAGCCACTGAATGCAATTGGCTTAAGCGTTTGCAGCAACGACACAATTCAACGCGCGTGTGTGTGTGTACCAGTGTGCGCTGAATACGCGGCGACGTCACGGCCCAGTCGGCAATCAGCTGTGCGGCAGCTCTAATAAAACAGCAGGTAAAACGCTGGCCAGCAAAAAGAGCCACACTGCGAGAACCAGTCGCTTGAGAGAGCTTGACGCGTGCAGACGACTGTGTAAATGTAACTCGGAAAAATTGCAAGAAATTAACAGCATAAACATTGCCATTGAAAAAATGTAAATAAACGCTGTTAAAAAACTACAACGATATGAAAAGAATGCTGTAAAGTGACAGTTAAGCGAGCTACATATGTATGAGTATATGTGCATACAAAGTGAAAAAATTATAGCCAAGCTAAAAGAACAACAAACATCTAACATTGACGTTAGCGTCGCGAAACAGCTGTTACTGTTCGCTCTCAATTCAGCAAAACTCTGATGATTCAGCGCTACGCTCTCACTCTCTCTCTCTCTCTCTCTCTGCTCGCTGAACGAAAATTACAAAATAATTGAAAACATTCAAGAGTTCGTTTCATTTCGCTTGCGCTGCTCAACGTGAACGGACGTGCTCGAGCAAATTTCTCTGCCTGTCGATAGCGTATAAAAACTGTAAACCACACGCGTGTATTTGCATAAAAATTTATAAAGACTGAACCAATAACATAAAACAAGCAAATACAAACTCAATTTGCAGCTAAAATAGTTAAAAAAAAAAAACAAGACTGATTAACCAATACAATAAATGCAAAACAATTGAATTACGGGTGCGACAAAGCAACAAAACAAAACCGAAAGCAAATTCCAAAAAAGCAAAAACAAACGCAAGCAGAAACAACATATGGATTAAGGTTCCTCTTATACACACACACACACTCTCAAACGGATTAACAGCAGCTTTAATTACAGTTAAACGCTGTCTCTCACTTTTTGGATTACCAGTGCCAATAAAATTTGTCAAAGTCAAAGTCAAAGTGCAGTGAAAAAGCTCTAAAACAAAAAAAAAAATGAAATGCTGAAAAATTAAGAAAAGATTAAACAACAAATAAAGCTTTAAATCTTGTGTGTGCAACAACAACAACAACAACAACTAAAAAATGACGATGGCTGCGTGTTATGCTAATTATGACATGTCCTCCATGTCGTCTCTTTCGCTCTCGCACAGCATGTCAGCAGCTCTGCAGCAGCAGCAACAACAACAGCTGCAACAGCAACAACAGCAGCAGCAGCATCATCAACAACAGCAGCAGCAGCAACAGCAGCAACACATGTATCATGCTGCAGTTGCAGCTCATCAGCAACAATTGCTGCAGCAGCAACGCCATCAACAGCAGCAGCAACCACCCGCCAGCAACAACAACACACGCCACGCAGCTGCGACGCAGGTTGCCACTGCCGGCAGCCAACGCCAACACAGCAGCAGTGGCGGCGGCGGCGGCAGCGCCAACACAGCATCAGCTGCCAGCAGCAATGCTAGCAGCAGCGCCAGCAGCAACAACAACAGCAGCGGCGGCGGCAGCAGCAGCGCCGTCAGCAGCAACAAGGACTATAGCATTCCACTGCACGTCGACTGCAGCGTCGAGTACGAGCTGCCGAACCAGCCAAAGCCGCCCGCTGGGCAGCGCGTCGAGCCGCTGCTGATGATCCATCCCTGCTATTTCCGCAAAATGGAGTCGCAGCGGCGCAGCCCCTTCGTGAACAACATGCAGGCGACTGCGACGGCGAGTGCACGCAGCGCCGTTAGCAGCGCCGTTAGCAGCGCAGCGGCATTGGGCAGCGGTGCGGCAACAGTTGCAGCCGCGCCTAGCAGCAGCAGCGCAGCTCGTCGCAAAACCCAACTGCAGCAGCAACAACAACAGCAGCAACAACAACAGCAGCAACAACAACAGCAGCAGCAACAACAACAGCAGCAGCAGCAGCAACAACAGCAGCAGCAGCAACAGCGGCAGGCAGCGTATCAGCAACAGCTGCGGCAGCAACAGCAACAAATGTCACAAATGTCGCAGCAGGCGCTCTATCCAGTGCAGCAGCAGCAGCAGCTGCGACAACAACAACAACAACAACATCGCAACCAAAGTCGTCAAAGCCAAAACCAAAGCCACGCAGCAGCCAACTCAGTCGCAGCAGTCGCCGCGGCAGCAGCGACGTCGGCGTCGGGTCAGTGGGAACAGTTGGCCGCTGCGCTGACGCCACACCAACAACAGCAGCAGCAACAACAACAGCATTCACACGCACACCCACACACTCACTCACACCCACACACCCACTCACATGCACATACACACCAACAGCTGCAGCACCCGGCGTCCCTGTATTCTGCAAAAAGCAGCAGCGCAGCCACCGTGGCCTCTGCCTCTGCCAATGCCGCCGGCAAACGCGATGCATTGATTTCGGGCAGCAGCAGTTACGTCAGCAGCGCTGCCAAGCATCAGCAGCAGCACTGCCTGCCGCCTCCTGTCGCACCGTGGGATGCGGCGGCAGCGGCGGCGACTGCGCTGCTCATTGACCGTTCCCCGATGGCAACTGTTCCTAGCAATTATCAGGCCGGTCCTGAGGCCACGCCCATGCACCGGCTGCCGCCTACAGCGTCCACTGACAAGCTGAGCGGCAAATATCGTCAATATCTGCGCACGCAGCATCGCATGCATCCCTACGCAGCAGCGGCAGCGGCCGCCTCCCTCGCAGCGGCAGCGGCAGGCGCCAATTTGGGTCCAGCTTCGTTTGTGCCCTTTGGCACGGCGGCGACGTCGGCGACGGCAGCGGCAGCGCCAACATTCCAGCAACTGCAGCAAATCTCCTGCTACAACGTGTGATCCAACAACAACAACAACAACAATAACAGCAAAGGCAGCAGCAACAACAACAACAACTGAGACAGACGCTTACAAAGTAAACGTCAACGAAGAAGAAAGGAGAAAGAAAAATAACTGCAAATCGCTTTCTGTTTTAGTTAACAAATTTTTAAATGTTCTGTTATTCCTTTTTCATTTTCTGTACCCTGTTTTACTGTAGGGCTTGCAATGTGCCTGGTGTTAAACATGTAAACGAAACAACGGTATGGCAATAAAAGAGAGAGAGAGCAAAAAAGGTGTCGAAGCCAATGCATGTGTGCATATGTATGCATGTGTGCTATGTGCCGTTATGAAAGCACGCTAGATGCCCAAAAAAAAAAGCTCTGTTTTGTGCAGTGTGCGTGAGCTCTTCGAAGGAAGCGGCGGCTTTTGATTGCTCCGCTTGAGACTTGAAAGCAAAATGTAAAATTTCAATTGTGATATGCTAAAAAATCGATTTTTGTAAAAACAATTCCGTTTTAAAGTTCATCATCTGTTTTTATTGTCAGAAAAGAAAGTGTTTTGTTTAAATGCCAAGGCAATTGGAAAGCCGGTAAATATTTAATTATTGATTTATACTTAAATTAGCTGCGAAAGATTGTTGCCAAAAAGCCCAAAAGAGAAAAATAATTGAAATTTACTTGTTTTTTTTTATAAAAAGTAAAAGTAATTTGTAGTAATTCGATAAACAAACAACCAACAAAACAAAAAAGAAAAAACAAACAAAAAAATGCAAACTATTGTAGTGATATTTGTTATAAAATAATTTTAGTAATTAATTTAATTTAAATTAAACAACAAGGAAACCAACAAAACAAAACAAAACAAACACAATGCGTGTAAACCAACAACAACAACAACAACAACAATAATAACAAGTAAATGAAATGCTAAAAACTAAACATATGCTTATTTAATTACTATTGCTATTCACTAAAAGAAAATGAAGAAAATATACAAAATCTCTTAAAGGACAGAATTGTTACGAACAAAATTATTATATTTGAAAACAGGTAGAAGCAGAAGAACACACACACACACCACAACACACATTTAAATGCAAATAAAATATATTCCAAATTATGCGACGTAATTTGAAGCGAAATATGCGGAAAAAAAAGTAAACGAAAATGTAGCAAATTGTGTTTTCAATGACGAAAGGAAGGCAGGCACAAAGACACAGAGAAATAGACAAGGAGTGAGAGAGAGGGGGAGAGGGTGAGCACACTGCAGTTCAATTGATGTAAATACCGTAAGAGAGCGCAGCAACTGTTTTTGCCGTCGGTACTTTGTTGGATTATTTTACAGTTTGTCGCCTCTCTTTCGACAATTTATTTTGTTTTACTTTTTGTTGTCACTGTGTGAGCTGCTTTAATTTGATTTCTTGCTCGCCTCGTGCTTTGCCTCGGTTTTGGTGTCAGCTTCGCGTCGTAGCTACCCCCCCTCGTATACCCTGCACCGACATTCGTTTTGATTGATTGTTGTCATTGATGGAAGACTCTTTAGCTTCGCCTCGCACGCACAGTGGTTGAAATAGGGAGGTCGCAGCCAGAGTCTTTAATAATGAGTAACAGCCCACATAGTGGGCTCTCTATGTTGTCGGAGATTACAGGGTGTGCAGGGCATATGATAAAGTAAAAAATCATATCATTTGATTAAATTCAAATAATTTCAAATCTTAATTTCCTATAGCTGATAACTTGACAAATTTGCTAACTAAATATAAACGTATTTAGCCAATTTCCTGCTTACAAATTCAAATTTCATAGGAAATCCGGTTGGGAAAAAACATAAGGGTGGTCATTTCTTCAAGTTTTTAATGCATTTCAAAATACTACGCAACGTTTAACCGGAATAAAGCCGCCGTCGGCTTAATTAAACAAAATGTTTCATTTGAAGAAGAGAAAAAAAAGAGGCGTTAAGTAGAAAACGACATCCGTTTCCCATTGACCAAAAGTGGACTCGTGTAACCATTTGATTTGTGACTCGGTTAAAGCGAATCCATTCACATGATTCACTTTGCTCTGCCCTAAATTCAAACAAGTCCAAGCCATGTCAAGACTCACGACAAGACAACTAAACCATGACAGGAACTGGCCGCGACTGCCTATGTAGACCACATGCGGACTTATCTAAGTCCATTTATAGTAGTGTGTGTGTGTATGTATGTACTATATTTATGTTATACTATGTAGAAAGCAACGTCAACAAATCTTGTTTATACTAAAAAAAAAAAAAAAAAAAAAAAACAAAACACGGCACACGCGTTCAAAGACAGACGGAGCTGAATTGAGACGGGGTGAAAAACGTTCGTTTTGTATGCTGATTTAGGTCTGAGAAATGATTGCCATCTATTCATTTATTTAATTCATACATATAATAAAGTGGCCGCCATAGATTAGAATTCCCTTGCAATATGCCAATTGGGAGTAATTAAAATTTACTAAAAAAAAAAAAAATAAATGCGACTCGGGTCCAAGTGTTTTGTTTGCAATCAATCGAAAGCACGCTAAAATCAGCTGTTGCCCACTGTTGTTGTTTGGGTCTGTCCATATCCCCCTTCCATTCATTCCCGTTCATGCGAGTTCATTGTCGTCATATTCTATGCATGCATGCATGATACATTGTGTATGTGTGCGTGTGTGTGTGTGTGTGTGTGTGTGTCTGGGCGTGCTTGAGCTTTAGCTAAATTGGAATGAAACAAAAGCTGCACTTTATAGAGAGAATTGTTGATTGTATTTGTAAGCCAAATCTTCAGAGATAATGGGCCCGTTCTTCAAGTACTGTACTTGAAAATTCAAGTGTTCGTTTTTTTTATTTTATTTATATTTTTATTTTAAATAGAAATGAGCTCAGCGCTCAAGTGTCTGCGTTGCCAAAGAGTTTTTGTGTGTGTGGGTGGAGGGGGGGGGGGGGTCTGAATTAGTGCGGCCTAAAAAGTAATTAATCAGTAGGTGGAACTATACTTCGTATGCATAACAATAGATTTGGCTTTTCAAATTTTTTTTTGGATTTTGAATTTATTACGGCATCACCTCCGTCTCCCTCCATAAACCAAAACCCCTGTCCGCAAGGCAGGTGCCATTTAAAAGTCATCAAGAGAGATAAATAAACGCAATAATGGGCCAGCGAAATACGCATAAAAACTGAAACAAAACAAAAGCATGCAAATAAAACGGCACCCAAAACTCGCACATAAAATCAAATTAAGCACAAGCACACACACACGCACAGTGATGATTAGTTATTTTTAAATTTAAGCTGAAAATGCAAACAGAAAAAACGCACGAAAATTGTTTTAAATGAAATGACGCAAGGCGCATTAAACAAAGTCCAGAAACAAATATCAAGTCACAAAAAAAAAAAAACCAAATGCGATAAAAACTGAAGTAGAGCGCAAAATGAAATGCAAAGACAGAAATGCGACAATGACAACGGCGACGTCGACGCCGACAGCGGAAGCTGTCTAACAAACGATGTCTGTGTGTGTGTGTGTGTTTGTATGTATGTCTGTGGGTGCGGCAGGTGGCGAGGGCGGGCTAGCATGGTCATTACAGTTACGCCTTGCATTGAGGCTGGTCATAAAGCCCGTGCTTACGAGCACAGCAGAGCAGAGCGACAAGGACAGACAAAGAGTGCGAGGCGAGTGCGACGAGACCCACGCCCAGACGCCGCCTGGGCAACCAGTTTACGTTTGTTTTTGTTTTTGTTTTTGTTTTGCTCACTCATTCATTCATTTTCCGTCTTTTTTTGTTTTTGTTTTTGGAGCAGCACTTTTGCAAGTGGCTGCTTTTGGGGTCAGCCTAATACCAGCGCTTTATAATTCGCGACTTAATTAAAACATTTGCCCGCTCCGAATCACATTTAAATATTTAATACATTCATTTTCTATGCGTTTCTCCGAAGTTTGTAATCATTTTTATATATGTATGTATATACATAGATTTTTTTTTTAATAGCCTTTGAATTCTGTGCGTTTCAGTATTAATTAAAGTCGTAAATTAAGTACAGCATTTACAATTAAATATGTATTTATGCCAAATGCAATGAATTTGTTGTTTTTTGCTACTTTATTTTTTTTTTATAATCAGCAAGCGACAGTTTTAATAAGCTTTAATTAAATTGTTAACGAAGAGAATACAATTTATCGTTAGTCGCTGTAACTAATTAACATAATTTGTATGCGCGACTGTGCTGGGAGAAATGCGGAGCGCAGCTTAAAACGGCTTTAAATAAATTATTAAAAATGTATTATTAATTAAAGTAGCGACTAATACGGACGCGCCGAATTAAGATGGGGACACAACAATTTATTCAAGCCAAGCCCAAAAAGTTGTATAAAATAGAAATTTGTATTGTTTTCGAATATGACTCAGAGCCGATGACAAAACCGTTTGAGAAATGGAGCCACCCAATGCAAGATTTAATTGAATTTCGAAATGGCCAATTAACCTCAAATCGCGACATTTAGCTTGAACTGAAAACCCTGAAAATATTAAAAAATATATATTATGTAGAGCTGCACTTTTGGCTGGCCCAAAAGTTGAGAAAAACAAACACGACAAAAAATAAACAACACTTGTATAAAATATTATTCATACTTGGCAGCTCAGCCAAAGTCAAATCACTTAAGCTGCCCCACAAGACACAAAGAGAGAGAGAGAGAGAGCGAGAGAGAGAGGTAGAGAGAGGGAGGGGAGGGGGAAGGTCAACACGCTTTCGAAAAGGCCTACGAATAAAACTTGAACTACAAACTTTACACTTGACAACAAGCGATTATAAGAAAATAAAAAAACAACGTGTAAAACTAGTTAGCAAAAAACAAAAACAAAAAACAATTAAAAAGCATTAACGCTTAGCACTGCCTAAGTGCAGTTCGGGTATACTAATATGCAGATACAGATACAAATGCAGATACAGATACAGATACAAATACATAAATATATATATATACAGATAGACGATATGTAAGCAGCACACGAGCAGAACAACATTTGAAAACAAACTAAATTATATGGCCTAATGTCAAGCAGTATATATACATATATACATACATATATACAGATATATATATATAGTACATGGTATATACTTATCGAAAGCCGCACGCAAATTATACAAATTATGTGTTTCTGGTCATATTTGTTGTATTTGTTTCATTTATTTGTGGGTTAGGTAATCGAAAAACCACTTAACTGGCACGAATCAACATTTAAACAGTTACAGAGCTAATATAAACATAATTAAAGTCTACATACATGATAATTGATACCCTAAACTATAAATTAGCCAACCATATTGTGACTTACAACAACAACAACTACAGCAACAACAACAACAAAAGCAAACCATATGAAACATAATAAATGTATCTATATAGACGACGATATAATGCAACTAACTATATAGTATTTAGTATTTAGACTACATACCAACTACGCCTATGCCGAGTTTGTAAAAGAAAAAGAAAAAAGAAGAAGAAAAAACCCTAAAACACACAGAAAACGCAATACTAGAGAAAGCATGGAGCAAACCTTATACTTAAACTAACTAGGCCATCAACAAATTATAGTCTATACCTAAAGATATATATATATATATATATAGATCAGAGATAAGGGTGTGGCGTGGCATGCCCAAAGCCCCGATTACTTATGAATATCAAATATAAAGAAAAAGCAACAACAACAACAACAACAACAACAACTACAATTTAAGCGCTGAATTAACGAAAACCTATTCAGCGTATAAAATGCAAAATATGATTATAAATAACATTTAATAAAAACCATATATGGATAAATACATATATACATATGCATATATAATACATATA